GGGTCATTTAGCTACGAGAATGGATTAGGAGTAGAGGATAAACATACCATAACCGGCTCCCACTGGGAGAGGTACTTTCGCTGTCTCTGACATGGTGAGATCTAACAGACTCGTCAAAAGTTGAAAGTTCTCAGACCCATTTTTTGCGAGAAGGTCAGTCGGTTATATTAACATATGTTGTGAAGGCTCCCACTACGGCTCCGACTCCAATTACCGAGCAGGGTAAGTCGAGATACTACTGTGATCCTCAAGGAGTAGTTCGCCGTCGCGGGCCCACGGCGTTTCCGCGGCGATTGCACGACGCGATACGGAGAGTCCATTGGTGTGATAGGAGAAAGTCGTTACACGGGATAGTAAGTGCAGCGACGATCTGACGGTATGACATGGGCGCCTCGTGCGATAAGCTAGGTTTGATAAATCTCCACATGTACTGACGGATGATCGATGGGGTTGGACGCGTTCAGCCCGTTCTTAGGCTACACTGGGTGTTGTAGCGCAACCTCATCTCTGATCGTTTACAAGTTCAGATAAGAGACGTGCTAGCAGTGAGCCACCCGCTGGCAGAGGCTTGTTGCTAAGGCTGTGATGTCATGTTCAAGGTAAGGACGCAGCTGCCGAAAACGGTTTGCTGAACGTTGATAAACCCCCTGCTCGGTTAGCAATCTACCCCGCGAACGACGAATGAACCAGGGTGAAGACTTGGAGAGCCTTGACAGCTCCAATTGGAGTCGCGATAAGCGAATTTGGAGATTGCAATATATCGTGGTTGCTAAGGTGGTTTGGACTTGATGATATAGAAAGGCAATAGTGCCTGCCACCGAGCACTCGGAGCTTTGCGAACCGAGTGCGAGCATATCATCTTACTATCGTGCCGCCTCATCAAACTTCCATACTCCGGATCGTTAGAAAGAGGTAGCCAATAATGGAATGAACCAGTTGTCTGGGTATTGCAAGTAGCGATGCCTTATCGTATCGCCATTCGTACTAGTATTTATCAGACCATTGTCCTTGGCGCAGTGTGGGCATAGATTTGCTGCCACAGTCTGCGTCTTCACTCTCAGAGTAAAGACCTTTTGATTATCTGTGTATGTGCGATGGCGGCTGTTTGACTCTTTCCAGAGACGCCGCGCAATGCTGCTGAACATCGGATTATGTACCACCCTCCTCCTCTCAGGTCTTCGCCCCAGCAGTCCGGATCTGGAACGTAGCTCCAGGTAGTGCAGCACTTTCCGCTGTGACGGTCGCTTGTATGCCCAAACTTGCAAGACATCCTCTTATCAGACCGGCTGGGAAGTATAGAAACGGCTGAACCCTGGCCTGGCTATTTGCGTCCCGTCCGAGCGCTACATCGCCTGTTTGTGCTACCAGCGCGGCTTGCATAGCGGCGTCGTATTTCTTTGTATCGAATGACATGCGGCCGAGAGGTTTGAACGTGTTGTCTGTAAGGACGTAGATGCCGCGGTGGTTGGTCTTGAGGTTGTCGATCTGCTTTCGGAAGAGTAGTGTCCATAGGTCTTTGCATAGGAACTTTATGCAATCGAGAGGTGTGGTGGGTCGCGGCGCGTCTCGGGAGAATCTGTGTCAAATGTTAGCCATGGTCTTGGGGCTCAACCATGCGTCGAGAGGAGACGTACCGTTCGACAACGCCCAGTCCAACTCTATACCCGAGATTCTCTAATCGATGGAATACAGCCTCTCGTGCTTCTTCCTCGTCGACCGTCGCAGTGCCTCCTCCGCCTACTGGCCCGCCTTCTGTCCCTCTTGCTGTGCCCGCCGCTGTGCTTGACGCGTCATTACTTGCGCCCGACAGTCGCTTTGGCTTTGTGGCTGATGATCCGTGTATCCACTCCTCTTCCCGGGCGGCAAGATCGGCTGTGATGCGATATGCCATGGGTACAAGCTCTATGAGCAGGAGATCAAGACATGATGTGTTCACTAACGAGAACGTGGGGTCGACGTAGGATGTGGTGGGTTCGTTCGGTGCGGAGGGGTTGGCTTGCGCCATATTGGGCGAAGGGTTAGGGTATCTGCGTCCTCAGTCGTGCTACAGACGATGATAGTGGTTGTGAGTTTGTGCGCGACAAAGATGCGCGCTCCGATGTGGTGTGAGGGTGTGCCGGCGGGTGTTTGCGTCTGTGGTAGCTTGGATCTTGTCGTCGTCTGCTGCTCAGTACAGGGTCGGGTATTTACAGTGGTAGGTGTCGGTGTGGAGTGGAGTTTATTGCGGTGTGTTGGTGGTGTTGATGTTCGAGTCCAGATGTGGGCTGCTGGAGCCGCGGCCGATCATTCTTCTGCAAGGGTCCACGAGCTGTGACTTCTGAACAACACTACATTGTACAGCTGCTCCCGGGCCATTTCTACATCAATTCGGCAGCTGAACTGTTGTTATTTCGGGAATATATAGATACGACACATATTTCGATGCAACCCAATACATACGAAAGTGATGATGGCAACAACGCAGGTCACTTGGAATGGGTCATGGTGTTGTATCGTGCGAACATTGATATTTTAGCTCAGATCGGCATAGATTCATGCATATCCCAAGGCACGTTCTCGTAGTGTCATCTCTCATACTCAACATGACGGCTTATAGTCTATCTACAGACAGGCGCATGTGAGTTTGTGTAGGAGCTGTACCGACATCCGGGTACACTCACTTAGCGGGAGGGTTGGCGACGAACTCGACGCCCTTGCTGATGTTGCCCTTCAGGCCGTCGTAGCAGGCCTGGAGAAGCTTCTTCTCTTGGTCGTTGGCGCTGCTGACAACGTCGATGGCTTTCTCGGCACCGTTGGGGCCAAGCTCGATGGGCACAGAGAAGAACTCAAGACCGGTGGCCTTGGAGATAGCATCTCCGCCCTCAACACCAGGTAGGTAGACGTAGCTGGGCTCTACGATGCCCTTCTCGCCCTTGGAGGCCTTGATGACCTTCTCGGCGAAGCTGTTCGCAGTTAGCTAGTGCACGTTGGTGGAAAGCATACAACATACCGGTATCCGGCGTAGGCCATGGAAAGAGTAGCGGATCCAGCGCCCTCCTTTGCCTGAACAACCTCGTCACCACCGAATTGGACGCGCTTGATAAGAGCCTCCATCTTGTCGGCCGGGATGTTTACGCTCGGCTTTGACTGGCTGAACAGAGGTACGATAGTCTCGCCGGAGTGGCCGCCAATGACGGGGATGTTCAGGTTGCCGGGGTTCTTCTCGCCGGTGATCTCAGCGACAAAGGTCTCAGCGCGGACGACATCAAGGGTGGTGACACCGAAGAGCCTCTTGGGGTCGAAGACGCCTGCCTTCTTGAGGACCTCGGCGGCGATGGGAACGGTCGAGTTGACGGGGTTGGAGATGACGAGTACGAACGCCTTGGGGCAGTACTTGGCAACACCCTCGATGAGGCCCTGAACGATACCGGCGTTGATCTTGAAGAGATCATCACGGGTCATACCCGGCTTGCCTGAGCATTGATTAGGTTTCGGTGTCACAACACCAGTATGAGTTCGACTTACGGGGAATACCAGCAGGGATGACAACGACATCAGCGCCGGTGAGGGCCTTTTGCATACCGTCCTCCTTTGGCAGGAAACCTGTGACAGCCTGTCCATCTTCAGTATCTCCATGCATATGCGGGGCTAGGGTTAGCTCATACTGCTGGGGTCGAGATGTGCGACAGATCGGCAGCGACACCTGGTGTGTTGACGACATCGTAGAGAGCGAGCTCAGTGACGTGTTGGCAGGACTTGAGGAGCAGAGAGAGGGGCTGTCGAGGTCATGTCAGTCAGTTACGGATGAAACATAGAGGGACAAGTCTCTGAGGTGCTCTCGAGCTCGTACCTGTCCAATGCCTCCTGCGGCTCCGGCTACTACGGCTTTGACCATTGTGATGTGAGTTTGTAAAAGGGAGACGCGTTGAAAAGTGGTAGTTGAGAAGAGAGATTGAGAGAAGAGTTGAAGAGTCGGTGAGAGAAAAGAAGGCAGGAGGAGGTGGCTTGAAGTAAAGTAGGGTAGGAGCTGCACCACGCGCCCGTTCTGTTGGATCCAGGAAGGTGGGGTGGAGCACGGACCTGGCGGGGTACCGGCGGGAGTATGTCTGGGAAACGCTTCAAGCTAATGGCCGTCTAATGCCCCCGGCACAGTCTGGCTAGCTTTGTGACAATGTTAGTTTCGTGAGTGCTTGTTGAGAGTCTTGGTAGTGAACTCCAGGCTGTTCCATATACCAAGTGGATAGCTTGTATAATGGGCTTTAGAGAAAAGATGCATTCTCATGCTATCGCTGCGTTAGCCAAGCATGTGCAGCGAGCCTCGGTGCCATGAGCAGTCGGAGCAGGTCGGATGCCCACTAGTTGTGACGCAGGTACGGATCCATAGACTGGAGAAGATGTTTCTTAGCCCGCGTACGGTAACTAGTACTTCGGCCGCTGACGAAGTGTCTAGAGCACTCTTGTCAGTGATGAGGGATAATTGGCAAGGCTGTCTGATCATCGACAGCAGTCCACCTAATAGGCTTCCCAGACCCCTGGATTGTCTCGGTACCACCTTTGTCTGTGAAGATCTCCAGGAATTGATGCGATGTGGACCTTGGACCCTGACTGATCTTCGTCATATTCAGCCTGTTTAGTTGCCGGAGCGGATCGGGATGCTGCCAACGTTGTTTCCAGCTCCGCGCTCAAGCGGCCCAAGCACACCTCATTGCACTGTTGATGGGCAAACATGGTGGTGGTGCAAGCTGTTACTCTATCAATGGATATCTGCTCATAAGGCTGCCACAAGCTGACCGATCCGCATCCGCGGCCGTGCCCAAGAAATCCCCAAACTCCCTCAACGCCTCGTAAACACTGGGATCATACTCATTGCCTGCCTCCATCTCCTCCCCTGTGCCTTGATAGAACCATCCTACACAAGAAAAAACCTCGACAGGTCTGGAGACTACATCAACATGATAACATGCAGAGTGGGTGAGCTAACGTCGAAGTAGGCTCCAGAGCCTAGGATAACGCCGTCGTTCCTAACTCTCAGCGTCGACCCTCTCGCCTTCGGCGTCGTCGGGGTCAGCCTCATACCGGCCATAGCTCTGGGGATCGGCATTCGGGTCAGGCCCACGCTGACCACCAACTGCGTACATTTGCGGCTGCTGACCGCTCACCTGGTATTGGGTGTAGACGCTGGGGTCGAACATCGGCTGCTGTGCATAGGCGCGGGGGTCGCCTTGCATCGGACCCGGGTACATGGGCGGTTGCTGGTACTCCTGCTGCTGTCCCAGATGCTCCTGCAGGCCATAGTCGGGAGGTGGCATGGAATGTTGAGCATGTACTGGCTGAGGCATAGCCCCGGGAGGGACCACAGCTGCTGATGACTGTACAGCTGCGTTCTGGCCGGCACTTCTCTTGTGGGGATGAGCCTCCTCGCGGGGCACGATGTCGATGAGGAAGTCGAACATGTCCGACTTTGACAAAGCCGAGGCGATGTCGGAGCGCTGGAGAGTGCGACGCTTGTTTTCCTCGGCGTGGATCCAGGCGCGCATTGTGAGCTCGGTGATGAAGATGTCGCAACCCTTGGCGAAAAGGATGGGAGCTTCCGCTGAGATCATCTTGACCTCTGGGTCGGCCTTCATGACCTTTTTGATGCGGGCAAGCGGGAGCTGGTGTAGCTTGTAATCATGCTCGTCGGTCTCGAGCTTCGTAACCTGCTGCTGCCAGTATGTGTTTAGGATGTCGCGGTAGTTGCCGGTGAGTCCTTGGTTGACCTGTAGGCGTTAGTTTGTGCGATCGTGGCTATGACAGATGCGAGCGCGTACATTCTGCCACGAGCCGGTGAACAGCTGTGGATCGGGCGCGTGGTTCTGTGCGGCAATCTGGACCAAATATCAGCAGCTGGAAGTAGGCATAGGCGCGGATGCGCGAATATAACGTACTGCTGCAGATGCGCCTGCGGTATAGTGTTAGCACAGGATGCCATGGTGAATGCGACAGCCAGCGCCGCGTCGCGTGGCATGCAGCTGGGGCGGGAAGACGTACCATAGTGGCCACCGTTGGTGGGATCATAGAGGGGGTTGCCCTGCTGGCCATCGTATTTGCGCGGCGCAGCTTGCTGGGGCTGCTGGCGCATCTTCTGCTGGCCGTGGCCCTGGAGGTTGACTTGGTCCATGGCTTGGGCGTGGTTGCGCAAGTGTTACGCGGTGGACAGGGTCTGCGTCAGTCCGCGGCGTGTCTGGATAGCAATACTTGTTCCTCGGTCGCGGGACGGTGCAGAAAGGGACGCGGGACGTCCAATGGCTGCTCGGAGTCGCGCGGTGGGCGTGTTGTGAGAGGAGGGCGAGGTCGTGATTCCGTCGAAGGTGCGGTCTGAGTGGTCGGGAGAGGTGGGCGGGGAAGGCGCAGGTACCTGTCTTTAGGCTCCCGCGGCGTTGCTGTGTGCGGCCTGCCATGGTAGATGAGCATTACTCTATTTCTCAATGGCACCAACGCTCGTGAGGTTGTATCAAATGCGCAACTGACCTATGCTCTGGTTCGACGAATCAAATTCCAGTACGAGAATATATTCGCGGAGTTTGATGCTTGGTTGGTGGGTTTCTAACGAGTCAACGAACCACAGCTAAGCAAGGGCCCCAACGTTACTCACGACGCGGACAATTATGTAGAACTGTGGGCGAAGACGGGCTGCAGTATAGGGCGGGTGCAGGATTCGCTCAATGTTCTGACGTCGTATTTCTCATACTAGAGTCTCTTCAGAAGAAGATGCTGCGATCGTCGCTTCGGCCATGCTTATATGCGCGATATGCACGTCGCACCACATCTCTCTACAAGGCCCGACAAGGTGACAGCACAGTAGCGACGCAATGTTCCTGCCGCCTCTATCACAATTCAATCTCCATCCGGCGCAAGACTCGAACCGATCGTGGCCCATGGCAGCACACTTCACATCGAGGCACCACGCTAGAGAGACGAACTTGATCCCGCCCCAGCTGGAGTAGCATGCGGGATGTGAGCGCTATTGGTCAGGATGACGCTCTCTCATTGGCCCCGTAGACACCAGGGCTATGCCAGTGATGAGTTGTTCACCGTCCGATTCTCTCGAGCGCGCCAGAATATGCGAGCACGCGTCATAAGACAATATGACAAAGGCGACGGCCCAGGAGTGAAGCTGACTCTGGAGCTTCATCAGCGGGCTTGACGTGGCGGATCCCAACCATCGGGACCGTTTTCGAGTGCACGAGAGACACGAAGGAAGCCTTGGAGCAGGGCAATCCTAGCGTAGCAGCAGAGGTGGATCACTGTCAATCCAGCTGCCTTGAATTGGAAATGGTAAGGGAGACTGCGAACGTGATGTCGCCGCGAGCGCAACGCGACCAGAACGGTTAGCGCTGCCGCACGGGCCGAGCTGGCTAGCGCGCCGGAGCTTCTCAAAAAGTTCCTCAAATTTTCCAACACTTTCTTCCCGGACAACGCCAACATGGAGTTGCCAACGCACCAGCCGCTCCTCGCTGAGGACACCGATGAGGAACTCTCGGATGAGCAGATACGGGAGCTGCTTAATGAAGCTGCAGTCCGTATGCGCGCAAAGGCAGCCACAGCGCAGCCCGCGAACAAGTCGGATGCTCCATTCAGGCTACCAAAGCTGCAGCCCGGCCATATTGCCGATACTTACGAAAAGACTGACGGCAACATCACGCGCCTAGATCACTCGAAGCTCGTCGACAAAAAGCAGCAGGCTTTGGCTAACGGCATCAAGAAGATTGAGGATCCGCTTCAAATCAAGAAGCAGAAGCAAGAGGTACGTTCAAGCCACACTATTTGCATCCGCATGCCCGTGATGAAAATTATCCCAAACTTTTAGCTGAGCAGACTCGGGCGCCGTCTTGGTTGCCTTCCTGCACCACTGAGGCTCCATTAGTTCATAGTTACACTGAGGCATTACCACGCTCAAGTTTTACTTTTAAAGTTGTCAGTCACAATGCTAACAGCTTGCCACAGGAGAAGAAAGCCACCGCTGGCGCACAGTGGTTTAACATGCCCAAGACCGACCTTACCCCAGAGCTGCGCCGAGATCTTCAGCTACTCAAGATGAGGAACGTCCTTGACCCCCACCGCCACTACAAGAAGGACAACAAGAAAGGCGATGTTCCTGCATTCTCCCAAGTCGGCACTATTATCGAAGGCGCTACTGAGTTCTACAGCAGCCGTCTGAAGAACAAGGAGCGCAAGCAGACCATGCTGGAGGAGATTGTTGCCCAGGAACAGGACAGCGGCCGTTTCAAGCGCAAGTACGAGGATATTCAAACGTCGAAGCAGAGCGGCAAGAAGGCGCACTACAAGGCGATGAAGGCGAAGCGAAACAAAGGCAAGGTTGTCAAGCCTTGAGAATTGCTTGGTCGCTTCTGGCCACATGCCAGGAGGCTTCGACATCGGGACTTTCTTGGTTCTGGACCGTGTGGATGGTATGTTCTATTCTGGATTCTGGCCTCACTCTTGTGAAACTATGCCTGCTTGCGATACGCGTCTGAAAGGACACACTGGCGGTTGCCGCATTGGCCTGCCGTTACCACAGCCCTTGATCATTGGCCGTGAAGATCGGACAAGATCTGCTTGACCAGGGCCTGCATGTCCTTGGCTGCCTCCCGTCCGGCCTCCAATACCTCCTCGTGGTTTGCCTTACCTTGGCTCAAATGCTCAGTCAGTTGCGCCCTGTTCATGGTCTGGATCTCCGCATCGTTGCCACGGGCACCTGCCTCGAGCACAGCCACGTTTGTGACTAGACTGAATGCAAGAATACGCATTCCAGCATGTCTGGCGACGATGATCTCCGGTACAGTGGACATACCCACCACATCAGCTCCTAGCGTGCTGAGCATTCGGCATTCTGCACGAGTTTCGTAACTTGAACACGGTCAGCATATGTTTGATGCCATAGCGAAGTAGAGGGAGGAGAAGGACTTGAATGACATACGTTGGTCCTGCCACAAACGCGTACACACCCTCGTGTAGCCGTCGCTCCTGTTTATCCAGTCCAAGTTTTGCCCAGGCCTTGTGCGTCCGCACCCTCAAGTCGAGGTCGTACGCATCTGACAGAGGTGGGAACCGCGTGCCAAACTCCTCGATATTGGGTCCACGCAGAGGATGGATGCCCACCAGTCCAGCCATATTGAGATGCTAAGCAGAGTCAGATTGAGCTCGACGTCTCCAAAAGGGTTGACCTACGTCGTTCAAGCATACGATGTCTCCCACGCGGTAAGTCTGGTTGAGACCGCCGGCTGCGTTTGTGACTTCATCCACGGTTAGCCAGTTGACTCTGATCATCTGCTCTCTTAACATACCGATCATGGTCTCGACACCGAGCAATTTGCACACTCGAGTAGCGAATGTGACAAGGTCCATCGAGTGGCCTTCATAGAAACTGCATCCATCAATATCATGATTCTTGCGCCAAAGCCTCTCATCTTTGAGTGACTCACTGTGCCCGTCCAACGAGAAGCGCTACAGGCGTCTTCTGAGGCCCAATCTGACCGAACACAAACTTTCCAGCATGTCCCACAACTAAACAAAGGTGTCAGTACCCCGCATCCTGTGCAATCCGCAAGATCAACTCTGCAGCGAAATGATGCTTCCATATTTGCACTCACCAGTACTCTTGGGAAAGTTTGGGATGGTGCCATAAGCCAGTTCGACTTTCGGTTCCGCCTCGATTGTGTCGGCCAGTCCACCCAGTCCAGAGCCGCACACAATGGCTACCTTGGGGTACTGCAGAGCCTCTGGCAGTTGTTGGCGCACGTACATGGCCGTTTGCATAGCGCGGGCATAGGCGTTGGGTGCCGCAGCCATATCTGAAACTGTTTCCATTTTGATTGTTAGGTGCTTCTTCAGAAACAGTTGAAAAACGAGGAATCGCAGAGGTTCGATCTTGTATCAAGAGGAACAAGTTATCTTGTACATGTGACAGTTTGAGACGGTACGACTAGGGTGCAGAGGGAAGGCGCGGCCAATTCCGATACCGCCAAGACCCTAGCTGGAACCGTGACTAGCGCCATCGGCTCTCTGGAAGAAGTTCGATGTTGGACGTGGGCGAGTGCGACGATATCAAGCATGGCAGCGCCACGATGTATGCGCTCCTTTTTGGGGCCGGCGAAGAGGGCAAAGGTATTTCTACTTCAATTGAACTGCTTGTGGGAGTCCATCGATTGACAATGCGCGGTACAGATTACACACGCCCCCCGACCACACACACAGACTTTCTCGCGGGCGAAGAGCTCACGATCAGAGGAGAGCAATGAGAAGGACTCGAGAGAAGACAGAGATGCCAAGCTTATGGGTCGGTTGAAGCTGGAGCTGGAGAACAGTACCATGCCACTCGACCAGCGGTTAGAGGATCTTGGTATCAGTCGGGAGGAATACAAGACGTACGATATGCCGAAGATACAGGAACGGAAAAAGAAGAAGAAGGTGCTGACAATCCACTAGTCTATACGCAAGTCAACAGAAAGTCAACCAACGTCAGGAAGAATGGGAGCCCAAGACACGCGAAGAGGCAGCGCAGAGGTGGAAAGAGTTGCAAAACACACCTGACCACTTGGGTCTCCTCAAAGTGTACAAACGCGCTGGTCTGGAGCCTCTCAAACTGGCAAAGTAAGTCTCCCTCTCTAGTTCTCAATTCCAGCCCGCCGTTCTCTAACAACAACACCAGGGAACACAACATCACCCTCCCCACCGACCAACCCCCCCTCGACGCCAAAACCGCCGAAGCCCTCGAAGCCCTCCGCACCCCCATCAATGTCCGAGCCGTACACATGCGGCCCCTGCGCCGCACGCCCGAACACGGCGTGCCCACCTGCGACCTCCAACTACGCACCTACAACATCCGCAACCTCCTCCTCTTCGCCGACTTCGCCGTACGCGCAGCCTACTACATGGGTCTCTGCGCCCGCGGCCCCATCCCCCTCCCCCGCATAACCGAACGCTGGACAGTCCCACGCTCCAACTTCATTTTCAAGAAGTCACAAGAGAACTTTGAGCGCATTACCATGCGGCGGCTGATCCAGATCCAAGATGGGCACCCGGATGTGGTGAAGGCTTGGTTGGCTTTCCTGCAGAAACATCAGTACCATGGGGTGGGTATGAAGGCGAATATTTGGGAGTATGAGAGTTTGGAGGATGCGACGAGGGCTGGGTATGAGATGAAGGAGGGTGATTTTAGTAGGAGGAGAGAGGGCAAGGTTATGGACAAGGTGGCGGAGATTCTGCAGAGGGATGGGTTTAAGGAGGCGATGAAGGGGCATGAGGGGAAGGTTGAGATGAGGCCGTAAGAAGCTGGGTACGTTGGACGATGGAAGGCAGCGGCAGCGTTGCGTGGAAGAGTCATGGATTCCGAAGGCTATGTATAAATATGTGTATAGAAACATATCCTGCGTAAGAAAGCATTTACGTCGTTTCTCTACACCGTACATGCTAATAAAATTGAATGACCGTCCTGCAACAGATTCACTGCAGGACGGTCATTCAATTTTATTAGCATGTACGGTGTAGAGAAACGACTATGCACGCTAAACTATACTACCCATCTACCATCTCACCACCCATCCTTCTCCTCACCAGCATACCTCTCATCCGCAAGCAACAACTCCAACATCGCATCCAACAACGCCTGGTTCATACCCCTCCCCTGCAGCGCCCTCACTTTATTCAACACCGGTTCCCCGTTGTTGACGCAGTTCCAGTAATCCCACTTCTTATCCAGTTCGATCCATGCTTTATCGATGATATCCCAAAGCTTGGGGTTCGGGTCGATAACATCGAGTTGCGGACCCGACGAGGAAGACCCCGCAGAATGAGAAGATGAAGAGAGTAATTCGATGTGGATAGTATGCGAAGTCGGCACCGCATCGAGCGTGATGAGCGTACCGTTGCTTTCCTGGGTGATCTTGTGTGAAAGCGTCTTTGCATGTTTCTTTGTGTTGGGTGAGGTGGTGACGCAGCGTATTTCAGCGCCCTTTTTAAGCGTGTGAGCCAGGAGGCGGATCTTCCAAGACCGGTTCTTGGGGATGGCGGGGTTTTCAGGTGTTGTAGGACCGATCTTGATGACGCCGGTGGATTGTTTGTACGTGATGGGTGTGTGTGCGAAGCGCACGGTGTCGTCGGCGGATTCCTCGTGGCCCTCGTCCGAGATGATTGAGAAGCCGCCGTCGTCAACGAGGTGGCCGGTGCCGTCGTCTTCGATTAGAGTGAAGGAACCGTCTGCGCCTACGGCTAGCAAGATCTCAAGACCCTCTGGGTTTGGAGAACCGGATTTGGGACGGTAGGCTGCGTCGAGCGGGATTATGGATCCTTCTTTTGCGAAGACGGGGACGAAGTTTAGAGGACGGTGGACAGTGAGCTCGCCGGCGCGGTTGTATACGATGCCGGTGAAGATGTCGACGTAGCGGCCTTCTGGGAGCCAGAGCTTCTCTGCGCCGAGATGCGTAGTTCCGTCGCGGGGCTGGGTGATAGGTGCCACGATCATTTCTGAGCCGAAGCGGAACTGGTTGGGCACGTTGTACGCTTCGTCGGACTCTGGGTAGTCCCAGTACATTGGTTGAACGAGTGGTTCGTCATCAGAGGCGCTTCTCGCATTCATCGTGTACAAGTATGGGATGAGACGGTGGCGAAAACGCAATGTATCTTCGACGATCTTGCACGCCTCTTCGTTGAACCGCCAGGGCTCGCGCGTGTTGAAAGGGTTGTTGTCTGAATGTAGACGCAGGATGGGCGACCAGCAGCCAAGTTGTACCCAGCGAGTGTAGAGCTCGTCGTTCTTGTAGCCATGCGTGTGACCGCCAATGTCGTTACTCCACCATCCATACCCAATGTTCGATGCAGTAGCTGTGAACTCGGGCTGGAAGTGCAGGCTGTCCCAGGTGATGATAGCATCGCCAGAAAAGCCGATCTGGTAGCGCTGTGCTCCGGGGCCACCGAATCGAGAGAGAATCAAGGGACGCTGGGACCCACGGCCATTGTCGAGGAAGTGGAAGTGGTTGAGCACCCAGAGCGGGTCTACTCCAGGGATCTTGGATGTGTTGCCCTGCTGCCAGTCCACCCACCAGAAGTCTACGCCTCGCTCCTCGTGCTCGTGGTGTACGATGTCGAAGTATGCGTCCATGAACTTCTTGTCTGTGCAGTCGAAAGGAATCGTCTGTTTAGACTGCGGGTCGATACCAAGGTATTTGGCGACTTCAGGGTACTGCTCTTCGTGAGGCCTGAATCCGTCCGCTGGATGCAGGTTAAGCGTCAGCCTCATGCCACGATCATGCAGCTTCTTCATGAAAGCGTCCGGGTCGGGGAACAGTTTCTTGTTCCATGTGTATCCGGTCCAGCCATTGACACCGCCAGGCAGATCCCATACCAGATGCCAGTCCATATCCACAACCGCCACGTTCATGGGTACATCGTCGCGGTCGAAATGATCGTGCAAATCGAGATATTCCTTCTCGTCGTATGCGTGGTATCGACTCCACCAGTTGCCCATGGCGTATCGTGGAAGGAGGGGCTGGCTTCCTGAGACAGCGTAGTATGCACGCATGGCTTCGCGGTAGTCGCGACCATACATGAAGATGTACTGATCGGACCTGTCGCCGCCCCTGCGTCCAGCAATCCACCCATTGTCTTCGAAGAGCATGGACTTGGTGTCATCCAAAGGAGCCATGCCCTCTCTCGACAGCACACCAGGACCTAGGTTGGCCCTGCCGTTCACACCGTCTAGTGTACGGGTTGTTCCGCCCAAGTTGGAGACTTGTTGTCCGTATGTCCATGTGCCCGTCACGTCGCCCTTGAGGTGGATCTTGAAGCCATCGGCGCTAAACTTCTTCTTGTCGTACACAACGTGGAAGCGCTTCGTTACGATCTCGATGCCGTGGCCGCGGTCCCAGACATAGAAGTCGGGCACAGCTAGCTTGCGGTTGATGGCAAAGGTGCTCGCGCGGTCTTCGAATCGTCCATCCTCGGCCCACTCGAAGCGGAGCAAGCCATCTGTGAGGATGGTAAAGCGGTACTTGTCGCCTGCGACAATAGCGTCCGTGTGCGCGACCGGGCGCGTCTTGAAGTCGTAGCGAGCTTTCGTCATAGCTTGAGTAATGAAACAAGACGAGATCAGGTAATTCCTCTCGTGTAGGCCCTCGAGGGATGTCGTGGCATTGCCCGGCGCGGTCAGACACGGACGGCGTCATTCATCTTAAGCACGTCCGGGGAAAGGAAGCTCGGACGGTGTGCCTGACTAGCATCATGATCGATGCGCGTGACCTCGGTTGAGGGGGAGCGCAACCTGTCAAACCTAAACTCCATGCGAGGTAAGTCAGGCGACGGCTCCAAATCGGCCCTGCTGCCTCTAGACAGCATACCAAGGTCATGGTGAACGACTGGGGAAGAAGAAATCAATAGATGGTGTTGCAAGATCGAGGGCAGGAGTGGACACGCGACGGCGTCATTTGAGCTCGGAAAGACAAAGAGTCCCTGCAGGACTGCTGCAAGTAACCACAACGTAGCTGCAACGACATCGCACCGCATACGAGCATGCATGTCTTGAATACGAGCTGGTCGGATGACAACCGCTCAACCCCAAGAACGCTGCATCACACCCTATCGCAACCTGTGGGTTCTCTCAGCGTCGCATTATTCTATTAATGCCATACAATCAGATGTACTACATTCATCGCCCCAAACGTCCTGTGCGTATGTTCACGTACGACTGACGTTCCCAGCAAGATTTCGGCATTCCAGCGTACCGGCTATGCTCCCTGTTATTTCCTTGACTGCAACCACGAGGAAGGCTTCCTAGATCCTCGCGCAATTCCCATTCGTATTCGAACAAGAGATCTTGATGACATCCAACCTTGGTCAAACACACACTTCTGTACTCTTCATAGCTCCGGTACACTTGTCGTCTCTTCCCAATCCCTCCTCCATCGCTCAGCATCTGGCTCATCTGCGAGATGCAGATGCACCCTCTTGTCCATCGACAAATGACGCCCAAGACCAATCGATGCACACCAATTGGCATAATTTATTCCGGTTGCTAGCTCCTTGCGTAGCAGAGTGATTTTCAAATCGTATCGCCTTGCGAACTTGTTGCTGAGGTATAACAAGCATATGAATTGTGTGAGACTTGGCGCGTCCTTGTCGGTCACCATTATCTCAACATGGCGGCAGCTGCTTGCTAGGCGACGGGTTTTAACACAGCGGTCGATGAAAGCTTCAGCCGCCTCGCTTAATGGTGGTGAGCCATCGGGACGAGGATTGTCTCGGAAGCAGCGCGAGAGCGAACGACGCAAGACGGACAGAGGTTTACTGGGATTCACGCTGATACAGAAGCGCATTGGTTGCGCCTTCAGTTGCAGCATTCTGGGCCGGAAGATTGTCATGGCTTCGGTATTGATCAACTTGGATGTCGCCAGTATTTGGACGGGCAACCTTTTGCAGACGAGTGTGATTGTGGAAGATGGGTCCGGCATGTCGGCGAGTGTGTAATGCTTCGTTGTCGTTTCGAGCTGCTCGTAGATCATACATCGCAACTCTGGTGGAAGGTCCAGGAATCGGAAAGAGGGTTCGGACATCTCGGTGGATGTAGTTGTAAGTAGCGGAGGGAGGGACATTGAGGCGTAAGATGGTAAAAGTTGAAGATCGAATCTTATGTGTGCTGAATTCGTTGTCGACCTTGGCTCCAGCTATCTCTCTACCATGGTTCGCAGGAAAACTTCGAACATAGGGACGTGTATTGGCTGGGATAACGTCCTGATGGACTTACCATCACGTTTACTTTCATTTGTTCACACGGTGTTCCCAGACCATGAGCTCCATTCACCGAGCACGACTAATCCTGGCTTCAGATTACTGTCGCGGAGACACTAATTAAAGCACTAAGAGAATAGACTAACAGAGATGTAAAACTAGATAACACTTGACACGACTAGCAGAAACAAGAACAGACGAAGAGAAGACAGCAATATAATAAGGAATCTAAAGGAACACTACTGGATTGATTGATATTGGTTTAACGCCTACATGTAACCTCCTAGGGGTCATTCTAGCAGGCACTACCGAGGGATTATAGCGGTGGCACGCTACCTCGTGGGCCTGTTCTAGGGTGAATTATATACATGTCGAAGGGACGAGGAAGACCTCTAGATGTTTCTCATGCCCGTTGTGTTCAGCGGCGAAGGAACACTACTTACGCACCCGAACTCTGTATTCACGACTATTACAACTCCCTTATTAACAACTAGAATAGTCTCAACAGCTACACGAACTCTTATAGTACACAAACCAACCGATATATATA